ATGCTTGGTCGAGGAGAGGGGCAGAGAAGCCCCTCAACAAGATGGGCTGCCACAGTGGCTGCCACAACGCGCAGCATCAGAACTGTGCTGGGATGGTGCAGGGCCGGCAACGCTTCATCCTGTCGTCCAGATCCAACTCAACCGCCCCTCATAGCAACAATAGTGAACAATTCGACTTTTTTTTTTTTTAAACTACATCAAAGATTTGGCTTCTAGGTCTGGCTGGCATCTGTCTCTTTCCCAAGGCCATCGCACCTTCCCACAGGATCAAAGCCTCTTTTCAACATTCGCAAGCCTGATAGGGACAGAGTAACTGGTATGCGAGGCAACCACAGGCTTCTTTGTGTTTATTGACTAGTCAGTCATGAGCTGTTTTACATGCGTTTGAAGGGGTCAGACCCATGTGAGACTGTTCACTAAGGAAAGGTAAGTAAACATAGATAGCCCTGTGCTTACCATGCTTACTGGGTCCTATGCCCCTGCTCATTAGAGGAGTTTTGCATGTGCTCTGACCCCACAGCCTGGCCTCCAAGGACAGTGCTGGGCCACAGTTAGGCTCCAGTGAATACTGGGAAGTCTAACAGTCAGAGGGGTGTAGCCCTTCAAAATCCCCAAGTCTCCCTTTGAGATGCATTTACCCAAATGCTGTTGTTCTTGCTAGCGGCCCTGAAGCTGGTTTCAACTCAGCGCCCATGTGTGCAGGCAAATGGTTCCATTGGGTTTTCAAGGCCATGAGCTTTGGGAAGTAGAGCTAGGCTTTTCTTCTGAGGTGACAGGGTGGCTTTGAACTGCCAACATTTCAGCTAGAGGGCTGTTGCTTAACCATTTGTGCCACCCAGCGTCCACCCAAACATCAAAGGAACATAACCATCATTGTCCTATAACATAATAATGTGGTTTTCTGGACCTAGGACTCATTTGGGGTTAGAGACTGGGATACTTGCCATCATTTTCCGATAACAATATGATACAAGAAATCCCAATGATACTTAGTTTTTAAGACTTTGAAACGTTTGATAGGCATTGTTTCATTTATTCACTATAGCCAAGTGTGTTAATCTGGGTTGACTAGAGAAACAAATCCAGGATGCTCAACTATATATGTAAGAGAGAGATTTACATCAAAAAGTAATTGTAGAGTAAGAAAACATCCTAGTCCAGTCCAGATCAAGTCCATATGTCCTTTATTAGCCCATATGTCTGATACAAGTCTATAAACTCCTCTTCAGACTCCCGAAACATATGCAATTACACTGAATGCAGGAAGAGTCACAGGCCAGTAGGTGGAACGTCTTGTGGATCCAGTGATGGTGGAAGTATCTCACACTGGTGTGGGTCTCCACGTGGTTCCTCCAGCTTTGGCTCTGGCTCCATCAGTGTGCCTCCATGTGGCTTGTCAACAGGAATGTCGCACAGGGAGAGTGTGTCCTGCCTTCAGGGAGGAAGACAGGAGTTCCCAGAATCCTCAGGAGAAGGCGTGTCCACACAGAGGCTTCATTGGCTATGACCTGATTGACAGGCTAGACTCCACCCCTTCCTCAAGGTGGCAGTAGGTTATGTAACTGCCACACCAAGTATTATAAACTTTCTGTAAAAACAAACCAACAAACACCTCGCTGTCATCAAGTTAATTGCTCACTGCCAGCAAGTTGACTCCAACTCACAGGGAGCCTATAAAATGGAGCAGAACCGCCCCTGTAGGTTTCGGAGACCGTAACTCTTCCGGAAGTAGAAAGCTCTCTTTCTCCCTCGGAGAGGCTGGTGGTTTAGAACTGCTGCCCTTTTTTGCTTAGCTGCTGAATGCATAACCGACCATGCCACCGGGGCTCCTGAAGCTATTTATAACCAAGGAAAACAAGGTTAAACATTTTGGCCCAACTCACAATGAAGAGGGACCTTCAAGGTGGGCTGCCAGGTTTAAAATCCAATATTCTA